TGACCGGGTTGCTGACGTGGCGTAATTTTTTTAAATTGCATTTTGACCCCCCTATTTTCAAATTTCTTTTCAAAAATACTCCTAGAACTCGAATTTTCACCCCTTTTTTCAAAAATTATTTTCAATTAAATTCCAAAAATAATTTTATCTATTTTTATTATTTTTATTTTTATTTCTATTTAATTAAATTAAACTAATTTAAAATCATATATTATTACATAATAAATCATTATATTCATATAAAAAAATTACAAAAAATTAAAATAAAAAATAATAATAATAAATTAGGGTGTTACACATAAATTTTTTGATGAAAAATAAATAAAATAGACAATTATTTACATGTTATATATAATTAAAATTAAAACATACATCGAATATATTTTGTTAACAGAAATTAAAACATATTACATATTTTTACTAAATTAGAAATATATATTATATATATATATCAATTTTAAAATGTATTATATACTACGATCAAGTTTTTAACTTTTGAACAACATGCCTCGACATAGCAAACAAAAAATGAGATATCTTAGTTTGGTTATGAGCAAACCGATTTGAGTACAAATTTCCATGCATTGTTTAATATATTAACAGTTTTAAAATCCTAAAGAAGCATTAAAAATCATAATTTAAAGTCGGTCACTAATTAGGATTCAAGTCCATGCAGGAGACTACACGGAATGCAATCAATAGACTTATATTTTCTTTCTAGTGGGACAATATATATATATATATATATATATACTGAATATATTTGTTAATTTTAGTATAATTTTCAGAAAAGATTATAATTAACTGATTTAACGAGGTAATTGTATAACATAATCTAGGTATTTAGGTTAATATTATCATTTTCATTATTGCCTTGTAATATTTGATATATGTCTTTATATAATAAATTTACTTTTTCAATAATATCTTTGATTCACCATTCATAACATATTTTGAACAATTTAGTTTTTCAAATTTTGATTATTTACATATATTTATAGTTAATATATATTTACTAGTATTTTTTTACTGATAATGTAAAAGTCCGGAATATCAAAGGATATGAATTTGTATTTCAAATACAGAATCAGATAATAATTAGGGTTTATATTCTTTATACAGTAAATTAGAATATCCAATAGAATTACGAGAATATCTCTACTACAGCGGCTTTTAAAAAAGAAACAAATAAATGACTTAAAATAAATATATAAATATTCTATGGGTTGACTTCCAC